TGTTCATAATACGCTTTACATTGTTATTTGACACCATTGTGTGATAGAATAAAATCACACTTCATTTTTTATTTCAATGGCTCTTTCATTCAATAATCACCTCAAGACACTAGAAGAAGTATTATATGTGTCTAAAAATCCAACATTGGGTAAATGTATTCATTTATCTTTTTAGTAAAAAAAATAACCAGAATTAGTTTATAACCAAAAATTATAATTTTTCAAAATTTATTTTTACATTTTTATTTTATTATATATATGGTTTTTTTTTTGTTTTTGTTAACATACTGTCACCCTAGCAGTACAGTGTCAGCATAGTGATAGTAAGGGGCACTACATCTTGCGAATGTAAAGTATATTAGTAGGAGAAGCAATACTTACCACCTTATATAGGCAAATGGGAGCAAGAATTGGGTTTGCTGCAGAATGAACATCAGAGCTAAAATATTAACCCCCCTGGCGGTATTCCCGAGTGTAGCTCGGGGTTAAATTTCAGTACCAGAAGCAGTAACCCCGAGCTTCACTGCAGCGCTTCTCCAGCAATCCATGGATCACTTACCTTGTCCTGCAGTCCCACGATGTCCCCCCTGCAGCATGCCCGGCCATGTCCTTCGGCCGATGCCGGCATCTGTTCTGTTCCCTTCAAGAGTTGGTACGTACGGGACGTACGGTGGCGGAAACGGCGGAAATTAAAAAAATTTAAAAATTTTACATTCACTCAATACTGCTAGGAAGGGGTTAATTTGCCCCTTGGATGATCTGGAAGACCCCTCAGAATTCTGGGAACACACAATAAAGACCAGAAGACAGGTAGGCTCTAAGTGTGCTCATTTAATGGTAGCGTGGTATGGGATTAAATACAAACAATGAATGACACAGTGCAGCGCTGACAAAACTAAATAATAAATGAATGAATAAATAAATAGTGATAATAGATACCAATTTAGTGTATACTCATAATATTCAATCCCCCTGACATCCACATCAGAGAGATCCACATATAAATAAATATATATAAATAGTGTAATTTACTATATAAATAATTGTGTGACACGTGAATCCCCTCTCACTGGGAATATACAGTGCACATAGTGAAATGTTACCCGTACACACAATACTGTGAAATAACACAAAAAATTTGCAGACCAACTGTAAACAAATGGTTATAAATAGTCCCAAATGCAACAACACATAAAGTGGTACTCCAACTTCACTCTCATGCAGTTGTAGTGCTGTGTGGGTGATTAACAAGTGACAATCCTCCAATAGCCAGAATGCCCCCTCACCTCCTTACTTAGACCCCAAAGGGCCAGCTCACTTTGGGGATCAACCGATCCTACAAGGACAGACTCCTTCCAGGGTTCCCCTCAATGGTGGAATGCGTCTCCTGCCTTCAACCAGCTAGCAGCCAGCTCCTCCCAGGATCATAGTAAAATACAAACAGAGACACTCCATAGTGTATTAAATATAGAATCCAAATAAAAATGCCCACTCACATAGTAATCTTCTTGTCTTCAGCTCATCTACCACATGCTATGGGTGTACTGCATGGGTATCTGAAAAGGTTATCCAATATGGCCCCCACACTGGAAAATGACGTCACCGCGTTCCCGGAAGTTCCTCCCCGCGTACCGACACGTTGCGTCACGTTTGACACGTGACTTCCTCAGGGACTAAGATACTAAGGGAGGGATGTCCCTCCATCCAATCAGAATATTACAACCAATATTGATTCAACAAATCAAAGCATTATTAGCTAGGAATATTCCATAAAATGATCTCATTCTAATAGTTGTTAATATGCAACAGACTAAGCTAATTTCAGGAGTTTGCAAAAATCAAAGTTCAATACTTGTAGCTAGCTTAATATTAGAGAGATCGGTTCAGGTTGTCATGACTTATTAAAGATTTGAATAAACAGTGGCTAGAATAAACATTCAGTATTGAATAGACCAAAGTTCTTTAGCTGTGAGGGAGAAATTATATGCTGATATATCAGAATCATTAAAAGTAGCATAAGACAAGAAAAAGTGATTAACCCTTTCCCCCCACAATCCCCTCTTAAATCACAATGTGATTTTCCTCACAGAGCTATATTCATTTCTCTGATTACATATACAGATAACAATTTTATATACTGCATATAGAAAAAGGAGGAAGCGTAAACACATTAATATCAGCATTCATGCTTTCTTAAACCATAAGAAAATACTTCCAAAGAAATCACCAATCCCTCCTAGGCCCTTAAATGGATTCCATCCTTCTTCAGCTATTTTCCTGGCCTTCTCTTGGAGGGCAGTGACCTCTTCCCTATCTTTACTAATTATCTCATTGTAGTCTGGGACCTCAAAACTAGTGTTATGTATCCAGGTACAGCATTCATATTCCTCAGTCATTTCACATAATCCTGTTAAGGCAGAACTCATAGATTCAATAGCAAAATTATGCATTTCCAACTGCTTTCTAATTGCTCTTTGCTCTATGCTTAAGAGTTTAATATCTACAGTATTCTTTTCCATTATGTCATCTAGAATGTTTGAACAATTATTCAATCTATTCATTACTTCCACTCCCCAACCTGTCCATGATGGAAACCAGGCCCAAACCTTATCCTGAACTAGAAACAGGTCCCTGTAATTGGTGGTCCAAAGGGGTATTCTTGCTTCTTATTCCAATTCAGTTGTTTAATGACCACAACATCACCCAGTACAATGGAGTGGGTTGGTTCCTGTGAAGGCAAAAGGTAGAGTGCGAGCTACTTTGCCATAAACATTGGTTAATTTGTCAATCAAGTTTTTACAGTACTCTTCCTGTATTTGCTCCAGGTCCCCTTTTCTATTACTAGGGGCTTTCTTGTCCAAGAAGTGGGAAATGGTCTACCAATTAGGATCTCAAATGGGAGAGAGACCATTTGTCTTGGAGGGAGTAATTCTGATCTCAGCCAAGACTGCTGGCAGTGCATTTTCCCACTTGTGATAAGTTCCTCCATTAGCCTTCCTGAGCTTGTCTTTGATTGTCCTATTCATTCTTTCCACTATTCCTGAACTTTTGGGGATGATAGGGGATATGAAACTTCCACTCAATCTGGAGCAGTTTCACCAATTCCTGACATACTTTGGATGTAAAAGCTGGCCCGTTATCAGAATTTATCTGAACCGGGCACCCCCATCTTGGAATTACTTCCTGAGTCAAGATTTTGACTACAGTCCTACTATCCTCTCTTGTTGTCACAAAGGCCTCTACCCATCTAAAAAACATGTCCACTATCACCAGCAGATACTCCTGTCGTGTACCCATTTTGGACATGTGAGTGAAATCAATTTGCAAGTGTGTGAAAGGTGAGGTAGGATATTGCAAATAAAAACCAGGGTGTAGCGCTAAAATTAACATACAAATATGTAATCCAAGGTATATGAAAGAGCTAATAAGATCATAAACTCATGCAATGACACGTGACAAGGTGTAAATGATCAACAGTGACTTAATGATACCATAAATAAGGTGTCACTCTCATCAGCTATATTAATATAGAACATAAATTATGGCAAACTGATATATAAGTGACACAAGTGATAAAGTTCTGGCAAATAAATAAAGTGACTGAATTGTGATTCACTTTGTCACTATGTAGTGACCAATGGTGTAAAAAGTGCTGAAGATGATAATCAACATATAGTCCAACATAAGGTGCATAGGAGATCGTGATGATCTTCAATATCTGGTGGTCTTATCCAGTAAAGTGGTGATGTGGCCCAAATTGTAAAGACGGCACACTCACCAGATGCGCAATCAATATGTGCATTTAGAGATATCATTCTCAGAAACCTGGAGGTCCCTTTAAGGTCTGGTCTGGTCAGGTGTCCTCCACTGTTCAACATCCGCTGCCAGCAATGGCTCAATCGCTCTGTAGGTGGTGTAAGCTCCTGCGATCTGACAATCCTCTTCCCGGGCCCAGGGCATCCGCAGGAATCGAGGTAATGAGAGATGGAACATCAGGTACAATTGGGGCAATGGGGACTACCAAATCATTGATGGCCCTGAGGTCTTGTACAAACCTATAGGTTCCATCACTCTTCTTTGCAGGATTGATTGGCGCATTATAAGGTGTAATGATTGGTTTCAAAATCCTTGCTTCAAAAAGTGCTCAACCATTGGGGCTATGCCTTCTTCCTTTTCTTTGGACAATGGGTATTGTTTATGATAAACTGGGGTTACTCCAGGTTTCAATTTGGCCCTATAGGTGTGTACACAGTATGTGGCCTACATCCAGACTATTGTGGGCCCATAAAGGGTGTTCTGGTGTAAATGTCAACAGGACCTCATCTGAGTAACAGTATCCAGGAATCAGAGTTCCCTGACCTGTAGACAGTGCAGTTTCCTCTGGTATTTCCATGGATAAACCAAAATGAGGTGATTTAACAAAAATACCTCCTTCTCTAGTGAGAATAATTTCTATCTGCAGCATTCCTATCAGGTTCCTACCCAATACATTTACGGGGCAGGAACGAATGACCCAAAAGGAATGATGCAGCAAGATGTCTGGCCTGTTATGAAACCTGCAATTGGGAGGGGTGGTGTTTTATATGTTCTAGTCAGTATCCCATTTATTCCCATGGAAGGTTCAGCATCCTTTCTCTCACCCGTGTATATTTCCTTGCCCAACGTCAATTTGGTAGCTCCCATATCCAGTAAGAAGGGAACAACTCTTCCATCTATCATAAGGGGCACAAGGGGGGCTTCAATGTGATCATCAGTGAGAAGTGGGAATGCTGGGACACTACCTTCTGGGCTTCCTAATGCCTGGTGGTGGTTCTAGGGTAGAGGGTAACGCACAGTGGCTTGGGAAGGGGGGGGCCTTGTGTTGTAGCTAGAGATGAGAGAAGTATTCAAAAATTCGATTCGGCTGATTCGGCGAATTCGAGGAATAAATTTGATTCGATGCGAATATATTCGCTGCGAATTTAACTTATAAAAGGGTGTTTCTAGGCTTCAGAGAGCCTTCATATTAGTGCAGAACACTGTACCTTTAATTTAAATGCCCTTGGAGTCTGCTGGGGAAGAGAAATAATACTGTCAGTCAGTATGACATGCAGATGAGTGCCGTCGATCTTAGAATCACCGCACACTTCACTCATTTGGGCAGTCACGGGGCCAAAACCAGAGTGTGGAGCCACAGTGTGGCGGTGGAGGCAGCAGCAATGGGAGGCCATACAGCACCCTATGACAAAAATGGAACCCACCAGCAGTGTGAGGAGACCTGAAAGTGGCACATGGCAGAGTGTGGCGATGGAGACAGCAGCAATGGGAGGCCGTACAGGGACCCATGACACACTCTGGACCTGGCAGCAGCATGAGGAGTCGGTAGGGGGGCCCATGGCAGATTACGGGCCTGGCAGCAGCAATGGGAGGCCCGTAATCTGCCAGCACCCTATGACAAAAAATGGAACACAACAGCAGTGTGAGGAGACCTGAAAGTGGCACATGGCAGAGTGTGGCGATGGAGACAGCAGCAATGGGAGGCCGTACAGGACCCATGAGACACTGTGGACCTGGCAGCAGCATGAGGAGGCGGTACAGGGGCCCATGGCAGATTACGGGCCTGGCAGCAGCAATGGGAGGCCCGTAATCTGCCAGCACCCTATGACAAAATGGAACACACCAGCAGTGTGAGGAGACCTGAAAGTGGCACATGGCAGAGTGTGGCGATGGAGACAGCAGCAATGGGAGGCCGTACAGGGACCCATGACACACTCTGGACCTGGCAGCAGCATGATGAGGAGGCGGTACAGGGGCCCATGGCAGATTACGGGCCTGGCAGCAGCAATGGGAGGCCCGTAATCTGCCAGCACCCTATGACAAAAAATGGAACACTCCAGCAGTGTGAGGAGACCTGAAAGTGGCACATGGCAGAGTGTGGCGATGGAGACAGCAGCAATGGGAGGCCGTACAGGGACCCATGAGACACTGTGGACCTGGCAGCAGCATGAGGAGGCGGTACAGGGGCCCATTGCAGATTACGGGCCTGGCAGCAGCAATGGGAGGCCCGTAATCTGCCAGCACCCTATGACAAAAAATGGAACACACCAGCAGTGTGAGGAGACCTGAAAGTGCCACATGGCAGAGTGTGGCGATGGAGACAGCAGCAATGGGAGGCCGTACAGGGACCCATGAGAGACTCTGGACCTGGCAGCAGCATGAGGAGGCGGTACTGGGGCATATGGCAGATTACGGGGCTGGCAGCAGCAGTGGGAGGCCCGTAATCTGCCAGCACCCTATGACAAAAAATGGAACACACCAGCAGTGTAAGGAGACCTGAAAGTGGCACATGGCAGAGTGTGGCGATGGAGACAGCAGCAATGGGAGGCCGTACAGGGACCCATGAGACACTGTGGACCTGGCAGCAGCATGAGGAGGCGGTACAGGGGCCCATGCCAGATTACGGGCCTGACAGCAGCAATGTGAGGCCCGTAATCTGCCAGCACCCTATGACAAAAAATGGAACACACCAGCAGTGTGAGGAGACCTGAAAGTGGCACATGGCAGAGTGTGGCGATGGAGACAGCAGCAATGGGAGGCCGTACAGGGACCCATGAGACACTGTGGACCTGGCAGCAGCATGAGGAGGGGGTACGGGGGCCCATGGCAGATTACGGGCCTGGCAGCAGCAATGGGAGGCCCGTAATCTGCCAGCACCCTATGACAAAAAATGGAACACACCAGCAGTGTGAGGAGACTGAAAGTGGCACATGGCAGAGTGTGGCGATGGAGACAGCAGCAATGGGAGGCCGTACAAGGACCTATGAGACACTGTGGACCTGGCAGCAGCATGAGGAGGTGGTACAAGGGCCCATGGCAGATTACGGGCCTGGCAGCAGCAATGGGAGGCCCGTAATCTGCCAGCACCCTATGACAAAAAATGGAACACAACAGCAGTGTGAGGAGACCTGAAAGTGGCACATGGCAGAGTGTGGCGATGGAGACAGCAGCAATGGGAGGCCGTACAGGGACCCATGAGACACTGTGGACCTGGCAGCAGCATGAGGAGGCGGTACAGGGGCCCATGGCAGATTACGGGCCTGGCAGCAGCAATGGGAGGCCCGTAATCTGCCAGCACCCTATGACAAAAAATGGAACACACCAGCAGTGTGAGGAGACCTGAAAGTGGCACATGGCAGAGTGTGGCGATGGAGACAGCAGCAATGGGAGGCTGTACAGGGACCCATGAGAGAACTGGACCTGGCGCAGCATGAGGAGGCGGTACTGGGGCCCATGGCAGATTACGGGCCTGGCAGCAGCAATGGGAGGCCCGTAATCTGCCAGCACCCTATGACAAAATGGAACACACCAGCAGTGTGAGGAGACCTGAAAGTGGCACATGGCAGAGTGTGGTGATGGAGACAGCAGCAATGGGAGGCCGTACAGGGACCCATGAGACACTGTGGACCTGGCAGCAGCATGAGGAGGCGGTACAGGGGCCCATGGCAGATTACGGGCCTGGCAGCAGCAATGGGAGGCCCGTAATCTGCCAGCACCCTATGACAAAAAATGGAACACACCAGCAGTGTGAGGAGACCTGAAAGTGGCACATGTTTGGGGCATGATTCATGGCGGATTTAATCAGTTGTGTCAGGAACTGGTGGTTTGAAATCCAGACTAATCCACGCCTGATTCATTTTCACAAACGTGAGTCTCTCCACACTTTGGGTGGACAGTCGTGTCCTCCGCGGAGTTACAATACCTCCTGCCGCACTAAACACGCGCTCCGATGCCACGTTACTGGACGGGCATGACAGCCTTTCAAGGGCAAATTCAGCTAGTTGGGGCCAAAGGTCAAGTTTCGTTGCCCAGTAGTCAAGGGGATTGTCTACCTCGGTTGGCAGGGTGCTGTCCAAGTAGGCCCAAGCCTGTTGTTTGAGGTCCTGCTCCAGGTCCACCTGATGCTGCTGCTGCTGCGGCTGGTTAGTAGTTTCCTCACTGCGCTGGTGAAGAAAGCTACTCATCATCGACTGCAGACTGAGGCAGCCGCTGCTGGTGGAGCTGCCACTGCTCCTACCACCCCACCCCTCCCCTGCTGCCATGGCAGCGGAACGCGAGCGCACAGGGCCCACAGTGTCTGAGGAATGGACGTTGGCGCAGAAAAGCAGAGACCAACTGACTACATAGGTGGTTTTTATAGTACGTTATTTTGGCCTCCCTCTCAGCAGGTGTTAAAAAGGCCACCATTTTTGAACGGTAGCGAGGGTCCAACAAGGTGGACAGCCAAAAGTCATCCCTCTGTCTGATGGTTATTATTCGGCTGTCGCTACGCAAGCAACCGAGCATGCTATGGGCCATTTGTGCCAAGGAATGCGAGGGACTCCCTGCCTCCATCTCCACAGCATACTGCCACGGTGCGTCTGGGTCCTCTGTCTCCTCCTCCTCCTCCTCTACCAGATGCTCCTGCTCCTCCACTCCTGTCTGCTGAGTGGAAAAACCACCCATTTCACTCAATAATTCCTGAGCACAAATGTCCTCCTCTACCTCCTCCTCTTCCTCCTGTCCTGCCCCCACAGGGGTCATGTGGCGTTGAGATCTGTGCGCCACGTCTACCGCACCCTGACCAGCCATTGTTAACAGCATTTGTTCCAGGACGTGCAACAGAGGAATGACGTCGTTCATCCCATAGTCCTGCCGACTCACGAATAGCGTGGCCTCCTCAAAGGGCCTGAGCAAGCGGCAGGTGTCACGCATGAGCTGCCAATGGCTGACATCTAAGTTACACAGGGGAGTACCTTTATCTGCTTGTAACATCAGGAAATCGGTGAGGCCTTTCGCTGTTTGTAAAGGCGGTCTAACATGTGTAGGGTTGAATTCCACCTTGTTGCAACGTCGCAGATCAGGCGATGCTGTGGAATTCCGTTCTGCCGCTGCAGCTCAAGCAGGGTGTGCTTTGCGGTGTAGGAATGGCTGAAATGCATGCAAAGTTTACGTGACATTTTAAGGATGTCTTGCAGTGGGATGGTGGATTTTAGGAACCGCTTGACAACCAGATTGAACACGTGAGCCATGCATGGCGCATGGCACAACCTTCCTTGACGCAGAGCAGACACCATGTTCTTTCCGTTGTCGGTCGACATGGTTCCGATTTTCAGTTTGCGTGGAGACAGCCATCTGTCGATTTCTCTGTTCATTACACTCAGAAGTTCCTCCCCTGTGTGACTACATTCGCCAAGGCATACCAGGTGCAGCACAGCGTGACACCGTTGCGCCCTGCACATGTGATATGCCGGTCGGGTAATGGGACTTGGCACGGGGGTGGCGGCTGAGGACACGGCGGAAGAAGAGGTGGTAGAGGCGGACATCTTTTGTGGACCAAGGACGTGCAAACGTGGAGGCAAAAGCGGCGTGACCTGTCCAAGTTGCTGGTGCGGCTGTGCCGGCACCACGTTCACCCAGTGGGCCGTAAATGACATGTACTGTCCCTGACCGTAGTTACAGCTCCACACGTCGGCGCTGCCGTGCACTTTGGCAGAGACCGACATGCTCAAAGACTGGCCCACCATCTCTTCTACATGTGAATGCAGGGCTGGCACTGCCTTTTTGGCGAAGAAATGACGGCTTGGCACTCTCCACCGCGGCGCGGCACAAGCCATCATTTCTCGGAAAGGTGCTGAGTCCACCACTTGGAAAGGGAGGGACTGCAGCACCAGCAACTTGGACAGGAGGACGTTCAGATTTTTGCACCGTCGGGTGCGTGCTCGCAAACTGTTGTCTCTTGGAAACGGATTCCAAGAAAGACTGCTGACGGAATCCGTGAAGAGGAGTAGCAGGAGAAGGAGCATCTGAACGAGCGGAAGATGCCAACGAGCGACAACTCCCCTCAGCAGAGGTGTTGGAGCCTTGACTGGCTGATAGAGGGCGATTGACGTCGGGTGACGGAGCAAGTAATGGAGCGGGTGATGGAGCGGGGGCTGGGGCAGGCAGAACCGCCGTATCTTTATATCACGGTTTTCCCAGGCCACCAAATGGCGACGCTGCATATGCTGACGCAACGCTGTAGTCCCAACATGGGCCCCCTGGCCACGCTTGATTTTCTGGCCACATAGTTGACATACGGCTACGTTTACTTCCTCGGGCGGCTTGACGAAAAATTGCCACACCGCCGAGTAGGAAACTTTGCCCCGATACTCCTCACTGGCTGACTGCTACTTCCTCCGTGCACACCGGCACCACTACTGGCCGTGGTGGTAGGCTGCAGTGGAGCTGGTGCTCTACTCCGTGGCCGTTTGCCTCCACTGACACTGCTGCGACCCTGCTGCCCTCCTGGGCAACCCACCGACTGTTTTGCTCGCTGCCAAGCTGCCACCCTCTTCTCCTGATGATGCGGAAGCAATAGCCTGATGACGACGAGGCTGCCAAGTGCGATCAGCCTCATCATCATCAATTAGGGTCTCCGCCTCACTACTAGCCCCCTCGGCTGCGTGTGGGTCAGGAGACAGACCTGTCTCTAGACCGGCTACCGAGCCACTCTCCTCGCCACTACTTCTTCGCCTGGCTGCTGAAGAGGCGGATGTCTCCCCTGTTCCTGACCCGCCCCCGCCCTCTGTTAGCTCTTCCTCACTGTACAGTGGGGCTGAGCCCACAGCATGCGATACTTCGCTTGGTGAGTGAACACCAAAGGACAGGGGCAGGTAGAGGACACGTGATTTCAGTGGGCTTGCTCCCGGGCCATGCCAACTAACGGTTGTGTCTGATGTACCCACCGACCGTTGGCTGTAGGTGTCAGAGGTGACCTGGGAAGAGGAAGACGACCGAGCCAACCATCGAGTCTCTGCCCAGTCCTCGCATGTTGTCTGAGGACCTTAAGTAACGTTCTGTGTCCCTGGGAGTAACATTCTGTGGTCCCTGTGTGCTCCGACCCTTTCTGTGTGCTGTCCCTGAGTAACAATTCGTGTCCCTGAGTAACAATTCTGTGTCCCTCAGTAACAATTCTGTGTCCCTCAGTAACAATTGTGTCTGTCCCTCAGTAACAATTTGTGTCTGTCCCTGAGTAACAATTCTGTGTCCCTGAGTAACAATTCTGTGTCCCTGAGTAACAATTCTGTGTCTGTCCCTGAGTAACAATTCTGTGTCCCTGAGTAACAATTCTGTGTCCATGAGTAACAATTCTGTGTCCTGAGTAAACAAATTCTGTGTACACTCAGTAACAATTCTGTGTCTGTCCCTGAGTAACAATTCTGTGTCTGTCCCTGGAGTAACACAATTGTGTCTGTCCCTCAGTAACAATTCTGTGTCCTCAGTAAACAATTCTGTGTCCCTCAGTAACAATTCTGTGTCTGTCCATGAGTAACAATTCTGTGTCCCTGAGTAACAATTCTGTGTCCCTGAGTAACTATTCTGTGTCCCTGCAGTAACAATTCTGTGTCCCTCAGTAACAATTCTGTGTCCTCAGTAACAATTCTGTGTCTGTCCTGAGTAACAATTCTGTGTCCCTGAGTAACAATTCTGTGTCCTCAGTAACAATTCTGTGTCCCTCAGTACAATTCTGTGTCCCTGAGTAACAATTCTGTGTCCCTACAGTAACGATTTCTGTGTCCCTCAGTAACAATTCTGTGTCTGTGTCCCTGAGTAACAATTCTGTGTCCCTGAGAGTAACAATTCTGTGTCCCCTCAGTAACAATTCTGTGTCTGTCCCTGAGTAAACAATTCTGTGTCCCTGAGTAACGAATCTGTGTCCTCAGTAACAAATTCTGTGTCCCTCAGTAACAATTTGTGTCCTCAGTAACAATCTGTGTCTGTCCATGAGTAACAATTCTGTGTCTGTCTTGAGTAACAATTCTGTGTTGTCCCTGAGTAACAATTCTGTGTCCTCTGAGTAACGATTCTGTGTCCCTCAGTAACAATTCTGTGTCCTCAGTAACAATTCTGTGTCTGTCCCTGAGTAACAATTCTGTGTCCCTCCGTAACAATTCTGTGTCCCTCAGTAACAATTCTGTGTCTGTCCCTCAGTAACAATTCTGTGTCTGGTCCCTCGAGTAACAATTCTGTGTCCCTCAGTAACAATTCTGTGTTCCTCTGAGTAA